CGCCAATGGAGTGGGGGAGAGAGGTGAGGGTGGAAGAAAAGGAGCAAGGTTGGCAAGGAAGATATTTTGAAATGGGTATATATTCGTTCAGAACATAAACCTCTCAGGGTATTCATATGAACTGTAATCAAAGATATTTTGCATGCACTTTCTGAGCTAAATACTAACTGTGGAATATTGCCAGGACAAGACCTTCCCTAGCCACCAGAACGTTTGTAGAAGACATGTTTTTAGCTGTAGTTGAACAGCAGCTGAATCACCAAAGCTCGGCGCATTAGAGATGTGAACGCGAGGAAGAGTGTTGCAGTGGGTGGCTAGACATATGGCTTTGTTGACCAGTCTGAAACCGTACAACCTTGAAGAGAGTACACGCAAACAGCCTCGTGTTGGAGTGCGAGTGAAGTGGTGGACATCATGAATTCACTCTACCAGACTGGTATCGAGCTATATGGCCCAAGGTGGGCTATGTGCATGTTTTGCACAGCTTGAATAATTGGATATCGTAAGATGAGATGCGCTCGTCCACTGGCCATACAAAAGAGTTCCAAAGCTTGGTATGGCTTTTTCCATGGACTTGTTTCTCTGCAATAAATTGCAAAACTTCTTTGTTTTCTCATTCTTAATAAGCTTGAACTTCAGAAATAGTTAGGCAACAATAGTATGTACCTTCTGTAGTATGAGATATCCGCGGTGTTGTACGCATAGCTAAATGAAAAAGATAGGCAAAGAACAGTATGCACCTTCAGTCCTCATTTGGTTGGCAAATATAGACGTGGTTTGCAGAGTATTTTACCGTCCGGGCTCAGTTTCCCCGAAATTCCCTGTAGGACCATTTGGTGCGCCGGTATTGAACGGAGCAAACTCCAGAATTACTCGCCAAACCCTCGTATCCCCATGTAAACTGACATGCAAGCGGCCCTTCGTGTAATCTCTCTTCCCCTGTCCGAGAGGATGTCTGCCTCTGCGACGATGCCTGCCTCCTCCGCCCATTCAGCTTCCACCACATTGCCTTGTTTGTTGATGCTGTCCCAGCGGAGCCCGGCGACTGCCATTGGCACCTTCCTGACATTACTAGACATTGCAATTGTCCTTTTTTCCAGTGTTGTCCTTTTTGTCAGATGATGATCCAATGCCAGACATATGAACTGTTAGTTGATGGGGCTGTTGTTTCTGAAGTGCAGTATATGGTAGAGATAAGTAGTAGTTCTTAGACCACATGAACATAAAATGAATTGTTGTTGCTGAACTCAAGACTTTCAGCTTACTGGTGAAGCTCCAATGTTGCGAGCGTATTCTTGCAAGCTATTAGATAGCCTAAGACATGCCTTTTGACGGTATCATTTACTAGATTGATATATTCAGTATGGCAATGGGCGGCGCAGATACATTAAATTCAGCGAGCCATTGACGGGAAAGGCAACTGTTTAAACAAAAACCAGGAACTCAAGAATAATACCTAGCTGCAGGGGAGGGAAAATCAAAAGGCAGAGTAGGCCATATTCCAGGCAACGGCATCGAGGGGCAAAAACATAGGGATAGAGGATGATATGTACTGAATAAGTATATAGACATATAGCATTAGCCAGAACAGAGAAAAAACCAGGTTTTCCGCATTTCAGGCGATCTATGATAGATGTATAAGCAACTGATCCTTGCATAATTTCTGGTGCATCCATCCTTTCTGCACTTTTAAGGATGTTGTCAGACATCATGAGCCAGTTCATCATGATTTGGGTTATTCTCATGTTGCCCATTGTTATAGGTAGATTTTAGAGGTAAACTGTGATCCAAAATATCGCACCCGTTTCTAGAAAATACAAGCCATCCATCACGTATCAAGTATTAGTTTAATAGCAATATGAGAGTCTTAAATCTGCGCATAGGCAAACCGCACAGAACATAACAAGCCACAGTTTGCCTAACTTGATGACTGTACATTGCCTAACTAATGTACTGCTGATGTAACATGAAAACGTGAGTTCTGTTAAAGAGACAGAAAAAGGTTAATGCCTTACCCGATACATGTATCCAACAACATCATCGAGCACACCTAGCTCTCGAGCAAAATAATAATAATTCAAGTCATGTCCAGGGCCAGGGCTCACCTTAAGCACCGTCTTTCAAATGATGAAAAACATAAAGAATAATTACTATTAGAGGAATCAGACAAAGTTAACTGAGTACAGAGTACTGAGGATTGTAATGGACACTCCTATGAAAAATTTCATCCTTTACAGCCTAAGGAACACTATCCTGCAGTGGTTCTTCTTTTCCAGACTTGCGCCTACTGAGCAGAGACTTGAGGAACTTCTTGCCCTTCTTCAGAGTCTGCTCGCTTTCCATGGAATCATCATTGTACCTGTCAGCGTATGACCGCAGCGGTGCCCTCTTGGGATCTGAAGTTGTCTGCATCTTGAGCAACATGAAATATTGTGTCAGCATTGGAAGGCATATCATTCCTGGTAGTCTTGTGTTCACAAGCCAACTTGATTTACCTGGACCCTGACACTTGATGTCTTGAGCAAGGATGACTTCTTTGAGAGTGAACCAGACCTTGTGAGTGGAGTTGTCAAATAAATTGGTGAATCCGATCTTTTATCTGTTAAGCAGAAACAAGATTGGCCACGGAACAATAGTATATTTATTCATTAATTGATAAATTTTAGCAGATTAGGGTAACTCTGTAATCATTTCACGGAATTTGAAGCATTGCGCACTCATATACCACCGTCGGCTATTGAACTTATTGCTACTATGTACCTCTTTTGGTGGGTATTGCAGTATCAGAAGGCGGCACGAAGCGCGGATGCTGTGCTGGAGAGGATGAACGTGCGCTCTGAGAAGGTGCACGGGCAACCGACCGGAGCTTGCTGCAAATGACAATTTTCAGTTTGGCAGCTCAACTGCAAAGTAAGAAACCCAAGCTGATTTGTACTGTAGTTTGCAAACTGAAACTGACCGGAATGAAGCTTGCTTGTCTTTGTTTTTTGTTTGAGCTGCAGATGCTGCTGCTGCTGCCAACACGTAGGCATTCCAGGTCAAAATCAAGTTCAAGATATCCAACACACGTCCGCCATTTTTCATGGATTGCAGATCCTTACCACGGAAGGCCTGATGCATCTGCGCAGTCCTGCTCTTGACCTTATTCATCTCGCTGAAGTTCGGCACGGCGTTGGGAACTGAACCATCTCCTGCTGAAATCACTCAAGTATGGCATCAAGATGTCTCACCAAAGTTTGACCCTCATCCACTTTTCTTGCTTCTTAAATGTGCCGACAGGCTAGAAAAGAGAGCCACAGGAAAGGCACAAAGGTATCCCATGGCCACTTACCTGGTAAGATGTACCTCTTGTGATACTTTGGAGCGGCGATCGACAAGGATTGCTGCGTCAGGCCTTCTCTGTTCACGCATGCGTGGATCGCCTGAGCTCTCTGAAACCAACTGCCTCGTTAAATCCGAAGGCATATTGCAAGGAGATTTACTGCTGAATTTAGGATGCACCAACTAAAACCTGCTGGATGCAGGAGACCCGCAGGTTGGCTTCGGCCACCTCGTCGAACCTTTGATCGGCAAGGCTGGAGACTTTGAAGGATACGGACCCTAGGTGATCTACAGTGTTGACCAGGGCCTTCACAGCGTACTCCTTGAGGTTGCTCATCACCCTGTGCGCATATTCATATACATGAAACAAATACGTGGAAGCTTCGCTGATTAGCTACATGATGATATTGTGGAGCATGCAGGAGGAAGCAATGGGTATATGACGTACGCCTGCTTTCGGCCTTCCTGTGTGTAGGCCAGCTCGAAATACTCTGCTGCGGAATACAGCTGTGGCCGCAGAGCCTTGAGATCCTGCATAGAGAGAGTGAGGTTGTTGCTGATGTGAAAATGCCCAAGCAGAGTCTTGAGATTGTAGGGGAAGATCGATAAGCACGGGCATAATTTGAAGGGTAAACCGACCTTGATGGTTTCAGAGAAGATGAATGCCTCCTCCATCTGCACCTCCTCCATGGTGCCGCCCCTTTTCCGGGGAGGCCCCGCCGCTTCCACCATTCGAACCAACCCTCTGCTTCTTTGCCTCTCTCGGGTCTTCTTTGATCAGGAAGCTCGATGATATTATATGGCGATGTTGGCGCAGAAGAGGAGAAGCACTCATGGTGATGAACTCGGCCAGCTGGGAGGAAGAAGGCCTTATGGGTCAAGGAGGAGGAGGCGTGTCATTAGCACGACAGGTATTTGACTGGTACCAGAAGAGTAGTTTATGGCGAGATGGCCTGGCAATGGCAGAAACAGCTATACATAATAATGCCATTCATGGCAAGGCAAGGCAACTAACATGAGACCCTTTTTGCTTCCTTATAGGCAATTAAGGCAACATGAGACCCCCCCTTTTTTTAGGTAATTAGGGTGACAACAACTGCTCTACTCACTCTGCTGGATGTTGACTGCATATGTACCACATTGACAGCAGATATGGTCCTGCGTACTCATCTATAGTTATATATTATCGACAAGTCTACATGTACCACTGTAACCCCACAGCTATCAGCCAATCATGCATCATCACCCACCCATGAGGCTCTGATCCATTCCTCGACAGCAAGGAGCAGTCAGCAGAGGGGTGACAGGAGGACGGGCACTGCAGAGTGGAGTGAAGTCGGTAGGGCTAGCCACTGATTTAATCGCACCAGTGTCCAGGTGGTTAGCCAGTCAGTCAAGATGCATTTGGCTCACACTGTGCATGTAGGGCAACCAAAAGAGAGAAGGCAGGGTGGGGTTTGGTTGGGATGCTGGACCGGAGGCTTGTTTCCCTTTTCTTTCTGCTAGACTAGATAGATGATAACTCGCGCGTTGTTTTAGAAATGTTCCGCAATATATTCCAATGGGACTTGGTTGTACGGAATATAAATATTTGGAGTAATTAATAATATGAGAACTAAGACTTAAAATTCGCATGGTTTATTGTGTTTGGCAGGTATTGTACAGTTGTAAAATATTTCCCTGCCCATTTTTGAAATATAAATAGCATAGTGGAATGGGAATGGAAATTCTCATGCATGTTTGCATGTTGAGAGAAATCAGTTAGTGTGAGGTATAGCTGTTTAAGGTACTACTATACTACAGTAGAAGACATGTTGTGCATGCATGTTCTGCCCCATGAGTACGGGCCCTCCTCATGAGTCACCACACCACACTGCTAGCTGGTCGCGTCATAATCACAAACTCTAAGGATACTCTTCTCAACAACAACAACCCCATAGCTCTTCTGTGCGTGCAGCTTACTGATATTAATCTTTCGCCAAAATGTGTGCAGTGCAGGTACCCACAAGATCCGGCAGAAGTGCTTTTCCCGTACCAAGCATATAGATAGGCTCAACTCCAAGCAAGAAGGGCGGTGAATCATTACAAAAAATAAAAAAACTACTATTTCCTCTGTTTGGGACATCATTGGTTGGTTTTTGCCTTGATCAAGCAAACTCAAAAGAGAAAAAATAATAATTAAAAAACGAAAAATAAAAACCTAGACAGAAAACCACACACGAAAAAGAACAGAATACCCTTTTTTGAGGGGCAAAAGAACAAGAAAACAGCATTCAGTCAACGAACGAGAAAAAACCAAAGCCAGTGAACGAATGCAAGCGCACATATCGGCCCTGGAACGCCGGCCCACCTCCATCGGCCAGCACATATCGGCCCTGGAACGTCGGCCCAGCAGGCGAACGCGAGCCCAACTGCTTTATAAATAAACTTAGGGCTCCCGGTGCCCCTCCCATCCCCTCCCTTCCTCCTCCTCTGTTCTGTATCCGCCGCCATCCCGATTTCTTCCCTGGTTTCGATTCGATTGCGTTCTTGGTTTTCATTCCTTTTTCTTGTCTGTCTGATTTGATCGTGTTGTTGCCTCTTGTTGGTACCAATGCTTTGGTGATGTGATTTGCGGCAGTGAGGAGAAATTGAAAGGCCGGTCTTACGGCTGCCTCCCGTCCCAGGACGGTAGTAGCGTGATGTGATTTCATTCGGCGAAAGGTTGTACTCTGAGCCGCCGCCGTTTCTTACCCTAGTATAGATATAGATCCCAAAGCTTTGATGTTTCTTTCTTCCTTCTCTTCCATGGCTTCTGTGCGAGTTTCCGGGCCTTCTTGCTGCCGCTGATTGTTTCTTACTGTACAGAAAAGGAGAATGCCGGCGATTGACACGAATACAACGTTTAGATCCCTGGGCCGAAACATCTAACTTTTTAAGCTGGCTGAATATGTATTGCTTACACTGATGAACAGTCTGCCTAGTCTAACATAACATAACATGCAGATCTCTGAATATATCCTAGTATTAGTCGATTTCCATGTATAACAACTTTTTCATTCATGCCTGATCGTTTTACTGACAACAAATAAGGGGATGTGACTCCAGTAACTTCCACAGACAGGATGGAGACCGGTAAACACAACTGTTCGACACTGACAAACATCAGGCAACCAGTTTCTGATACTGCAACACCACAAGATGAGCGCTTCAGAAGCTGAGCGTGGAGAGAAGGGCGGTAGCTGTGAAAACCAGCGCCAAAGCAGAGGCCACAGTGCCGCCGTTCTTGGTGCGGCGCGGCCCTGTGTCTGCGGCGCCACCACCAGTGTTCCTACCGCTGCCTTCTCCAGAGCCACCTGCCATGCGCCCAACCTTCCTGGCAGTTTGCATCCTCTCCCCTTGGGTTTCTGCAAAGTGAAAGGCAGCAATTCATGGAATACTTTTTGTTAAGAGATTTTGCTTCCTGACAATCATCAAGAAAGTAGAGTGCAAAGAGGAGATGGATGCACACAAAATACCAACCATGTTGATGAGGCCTCAGACGATGATGAGCTGCATCCTCCTCCGCCATGGAAGCAAAGGTGAGTAGGAGGAGGAGGTAGAGAGCGAGAGCGCCTTTCCTCATCTTGGGGATGGGACTGGTGACCAAGAGAAACTCATGGAGGCTTCTCTTATAATTCCTGGAGGCTCGAGAGTAGCTATACTCCACAGAGTTAAGTTCACGGTGGCACCAGTTGAGCTTTGTTCTTTCTGGGCCATCCTTATCTCAACAGGGATAGCCAGGAAAGAAATTTCTGTGCTGGAGGAGAAGCCAGGAAAGAAATTTCTGTGCTGGAGGAGAAGCCAGGAAAGAAACCGGTTTCATCGGCGCTGCCGCTCTGCAGCGAGAATTATTCTGTGCTGGAGGAGAAGCCAGGAAAGAAATTTCTCAGCTAGAGCTTTTCAAACAAAACCGTGGCAAATGCTGAATATTTTTACGGATTTGTACGCACCGTGCGCACGCGAGGATTGTTTTGTGCTGTAGGCACATGTGGAGCTCCTGAGATCAAATGTATGGTTGGCTGTTGCGGTTTGTTTCTCCTTTTCTTTTCTTTAGAGGTGTTGCTGTGTTTACTTGGTAGGCTGGCGGGAGGATCGCATGAATAATCATTTGCGATGCCTGGCCTGGAATGCCGGCCCAGCAGGCGAGCGCTAGCCGAATTGCCCTGTAAATACACTTTGGTGATGCGATGTGCAGCAGTGAGGAGAAACCGAAAGGCCGGTCTTACGGCTGCCTCCCCTGGATGGTAGTAGGCTGATGGGATTTCATTCGGCGAAAGGTTTTACTCCGAGCCGCCGGCCGTTTTTATCCCGGATCCCCCAAGCTTTGCTGCTTCTTCTCGCCGTTCCTCCATGGCTGTCTGCTACTGTTAACGATCCTCTGTTGCCCCCAAGGCTTTCGTTTTCTTCTTGCTACTGATTGTCTTTGTTAGTACTTCCTCCGTCCGAAAATACTTGTCATCAAAATGAATAAAAATGGATATATCTAAAACTAAAATATGTCTAGATACATCTCCTTTTATCCATTTGATGACAAGTATTTTCGGACGGAGGGAGTATTATGGTTGTCCGGGAGTTTCCTTATCAGTACTCCCGACGTTTTTGCGGAGGGTGTACTGTAGAGTGATATGATTGCACGATGGTAAGGACACAACGTTTAGGTCCCTAACTGACTTTTTGAGCCGGCTGAATATATCTTGCTTACACTTGGCGAACAGCATAGATTCCACTGGCTGGTGGCTGGTCAACACACTGGAGAGCAGGATATTATCCTAGCGATTGCTTCCATTGGAGAAGAACTTGCATGCATATCTGGCCGTTTTTCTAACAGCACTCATGGGGGATTTTCATTCCCTGATTTATTAGTGTCTCTATGACTAGTACGAACCCAGTATACAGGCAATTCAACAACTTAGGAAGCACTCATACAGGACAAATAATAGTAGTAGCCAGCAAACATCATACCATTCCGATACCGACAAACATCATCAGGCAAACAATTTCTGAAACTGCAACACTGGACGAATACTGGTGCTTGAACTTCAGAAGCTGAGCGCGGAGAGAAGAATGGTGCTGGTGGTGAAAACCAGCGCCAGGACGGAGGTCGCTGGAGCTGGCAGCGCCGTGGCAATGTTCTTGCCGTTGTGTGGCCTCGTGTCCGTGGCTCCGCCACCGGTGTTCCTGCCGCCACCGCCGCCTGCTCCGGCACCACCCGTCGCCCGCCCAACCTTCCTGGGACTCTGCATCTCCAGGAGACTCTTGCCTTGGGTTTCTGAAAAGCAAAACAGCGTATCCAGGAGTGCTTTTGTAAGAGATTTAGCTTCATGACAGGGCTCAGGGAACCTGAAATATATCAAGAAATTGGAGAGCGAAGGGGAGATGGATGCACACAAAATACCAACCAAGGTGATGAGGCCTCAGATGATGATGTGCTGCATCCTCCTCAGCCATGGCGCTCCTCGCAGCTGCGGAACACCATCCGTCATGGGAAGCAAAGGTGAGCAGGAGGAGAAAGAGAGCGAGAGCGCCTTTCCTCATCTTGAGATGGACCAACAGAGAAACGCCGATGTGCAGCGTGTGCGGAGGCTCCTCTTATAATTCCTGGAGGCTGGAGAGTAGATATACTCCACTGGCTAAGTTCATGGTGGCACCAATTGAGCTTTGTTCTTTCTGGGGCATATACTGAGCTGGATGTGCTTTGTGCTCTGCCTTTCCCACTCTTTTGTTAGCCCGCAAAATCAGGATTGGTACTCTCATATAATACTATTGTGTGCCTTTCTCACTCTTTTGTTGGCTCACACAATCAGGATTAGTGCTCTCCCTTAATACTATTGTGGATTGGCACCACTCCAAAGACAAGCCAATAGTATGAAATCTTTTGCTTCGGTGCTATTTGGCACGACCGATGATTCTGCTGGGGGGATAAGAGGGGACAAAGCAAAAGCCACGGCAAGCAGAACATTTGGTTGTTTTTCAGTGCATGTGCTTGGCGCATCGATTCCATTACTTTTTGCCAGCTCTAACCTACAATAATTTTTTGGAGACCACATGCAGGCTGTGATGTAAAAATCGTGAGATTGATTCTTTTGGTTACTGACTACACGAAAGGAAGGTCCGGTCAGAACGGGATACGGTGATCTTTGCCTTTCTGAGATGTCGTTTTTGCCGAAATTTGAACGGCCCTTCTAGCCCAAGTTTTGACGTTTTCTGCACAAGAATAGTTAAATCGGTAGAAAATAGCAAGGACAACAGCTAAAAAGTAATCTTACACAAATAGTACAGATCATGAAACTGGACTTATGAAATCATAGAGGGTGTTCGTTTCTTCTCAATAAAGTAAAATTAGATGCAGCAGTAGTCATCCTGAAAAGAATTATGTTTGCACTGATTGAAAGTTTGGCCCCCATCCCAGTTTCTTATTGGGTTTGATTGTCTTCTTGTCGTCGCTTCTTCTCTCTTACCAGTTCTTTTTTATTCTCTGTTTTTGATCGCATTGTCGTTCTTGGTACAAATGCAATGGTGATGTGTGGCAGGGAGGAGAAACTGAAAGGCCGGTCTTATGGCTGCCTCCCCCGACTCGTCCCGGGACGGTAGTAGCGTGATGTGATTTCATTCGGCGAAAGGTTTTACTCTGAGCCGCCATTTCTCACCCTCAAGCTTTGGTGGTTCTTCTCGCCATTCCTTCCATTTTCTTCCATGGCTGCCTGCTCTACTTCTACTGTTAACGATCATATTTTGGCCCGAAGGCTTCTGTTCTCTTCTTGCCACTGATTGTCTTTAGTATCATGGTTGTTTGAATTTCGGAACGTTCTTTGTACTGATTGTTCTTATTACTGTGCAGTGATATGATTGCACAATCAAGACACAACTTTTAGATCCCTAACTAACTTTTTGAGCTGACTGACTATATACTGATGAATAATATAGATTCCACTGGCTAGTCAACATAAGTAATTCAACAATTTAGGAAGCACACAAACAGGATAAATACTATAGCCAGCAAACAGCATATCACTCCGATACCCACAAACATTATGCAAACAGTTTATGAAACTGCAACAATACACACATACTAGTACCGTGCCCGCAATCGAAATGAGTATAGGACTTCAGAAGCTGAGCGCCGAGAGAAGAACGGTAGTGGTGAAAACCAGCGCCAGGACGGAGGTTGCTTGAGCTGGCAGCGCCATGGCACCGCCATTCTTGCTGTTGTGTGGCCTTGTGTCCGTGCCGCCGCCACCGCTCTTGCCGGCGCCGCTGCTGCCCCCTCCAGATCCACCTGTCGCGTGCCCAACCTTCCTGGGAGTCTGTATCTCCAGCAACCTCTTGCCTTGGGTTTTTGGAAAGTATGAAACAGCGATTCCAGGAATAGTTAAGAGATAGTATATCAAGAAGGTAGAGAGCAAAGAGGAGATGAGATGGATGCACACTTAATAGTTAATACCAACCATGGTGATGAGGCGTCAGATGATGATGAGCTGCATCCTCGGCCATGGCGCTTCTCGCAGCTGCTGTGCACCATGCCCCATGGGAGGCAAAGGTGAGGAGCAGGAGGAAGAGGGCGAGAGTGTGTTTCCTCATGTTGTAAGATGGAACTTCGATGTGGAGCATGTGTCGTGGAGGCTCCTCTTATAGCTCCTGGGGGCTGGAAAGTGTGCTACTCCTCGGTTTTCGGCTACTTTTCCTTATTACTAATAGTCAATTCTTTTCTTCTACATATGAAAAGACAGAGTTCCCGCCGGTTGCACGAAAAAAGAAGCTACTCCACTAGTTAAGTTGAGTTCATATGGTGGCAACATGCCAGCTTTGTTCTTTATGGGTCAGACACTGTGTTGTGAGCTGGAGGTGCTTTGTGTTTTCTCACTCTTTTTGTTAGCACACAAAATCAGGTTTTAAGTACTCTCCCTCCCATAATACAATTGCTGATTAGCACCACCCCAAAACAAGCAACAGTGCCAAATCTTTTGCCTCAGTTCTACTTGCCACCACTGCTGCTGGGGTTAACAAGGGAACATTTGGTTGCTTTTCAGTTTGTGCATGTGATTGGAGCAGAGAGAGATTCCATGATGCTCCCAACATGGAATTGTTGCCAGCTCTAACCTACAAGTTTTTTTTCTTAGACCACAGGCAGGCTGCAATGTAAATATTCTGTGATTGTGTGTTTTCTTCTTTTGTTGGTGACTAGACTAAATGAAAGGAAGGCCCTATCAGATCAGGATGCGGTGCGGCCTTTTCCTCTCCCCAGATGTATATGAATGGTTCTTTTAACTCTGAGTTTTCAGATGCAATTGTTCAAGAAAGCGTTTTTAAGTGACGCTTAAGCGCGATTAAGCGCTGAGCGATGGCAAAGCGCTTCGCTTTTGCCCTAAGCGGTAGATTAAGCGTTTTTTATTTAAATTTGACCAAAATTTGGCAATTTTTGTACTTCTTCTGCTGGTCTGCTTGCGCAATAATGGCAATATGCTATTTATCTTATTTTGGCAAAATTCTGTCCACATGATATCTGTTAGGTTATGTCTATTTGAACTGAACTGCATTTTAGTTGTTATTTTGCTTGCTATGCTAACCTGATATGTATTTGCTATTGTGTGAACTGTATTTCAGATGCTACTTCAATTACCCATGTGCCATGCTTCCTATTTTCATGCGTATATCATTCAAAATCTGTCAAATTCTAGCCAATTTCAAAGAACGCTTAAGTGCGATTAAGCTGCGCTTAAGCGCTCATTGCTCTAAGCTGTGGCCTTCCGCTTCGCTTACGCTTTTCTGCGGTAATTGCCTTTGGCTCCTAGGTGCATATGCATCAATAAAACAAAAATCTTATGGAAATAGTGGTACATTTGTTGGGTTATGAGAGGTTTGCACAGACCATGAAACCGTTCTTCAGAAAATAAAGTTAGACGCAGCAGTGGTCATCCTGAAAAGAATGATGTTACACACTGACTGAACTGGGCGGCAGTCACCTCCTCTTTCCAGGGCAGGTTTGAGACACTGAAAGGTGGGCACTCATATGTGCTGTCTACAAAATAAGCTTCTATGGAGTGTTTCTTTTCATGTTGCATGAGATGTCTATGCTCTCAGGCGTATGCCAGATCATGATCCCAACTGCCCAGATGGCAATGCGTAATCCGCCCATCAAAGAATTCGTCGCATCTGTTTCCACATTATATGGAACAGAAAGAAAGGTCGCCATAACCAAAAAGGTGGTTTGGATCAGCATCAAATTACCAAAAGGTGGAATGGGTCAGCATCAAATTACCAAAGGTGGTTTGGATCAGCATCAAATAAACAAAGCTATGCTCCATGAGGGTCTAAACATACCGCACAGACATAGATCGGATGTGTTTATCCAATGAAGAATTACCAGGGTCTAAACATACCACACACATAAACCACAACGTATAATTGCACATAAATAAATTTACAAATACTGGAAGCAAAACCATTTCCCATGTATATATATTGTGCAGAAAGATGGCTGGAACAGAATGTTACTGCTCTCCAAACAAACATACCTGTCATACACATACAGTATATAACAGTAACGAGCATACGAGCCATCATCAGTCGGAGGTGACCCTTGAGAACACGAGGGTCATTCTTTTCATATCTGAAATACATTTGTCTGGAACCTCTCATCGTATAACTGCCAGTGCCCGTACCTCTCCATGTGGAAAGCCGACCTTGGTATGTAAAAGTTGGGCTTCACAAGCGTCTCCAGGTTCTTCAGGTTAGCAGCAGCCTGTTCTATCCCCCTGCTCGTCAAATTCGCGCAGCCAAACAGGTCCAGAACCTCCAGCTCCTTGCATCCTTCTGCGATCGAGTTGAGGCCGACGCCAGATAGCTTCGCGAACTTGAGCACGAGTTGTTTCAGCTTCGGCATGGACCTCGAGATCGCTATTGCTTCCCTGTCGCCGTCCTGGGGGCATGCTCTTAGATACTCTGCTGGGACTGTTCGAACATGCTCTGATGAATCAAGCCAGTTGAATATGCTCCTCTTAAGGACCACGAGGTTAGGGCAGCTCTGCCCAATCACTTCGAGTGACTTGTATGAAACCTCGTAGCAGTAGCTGATGTCCAATTCTGTGAGGATAGGACAGCAGGATGCAACAGTGAGCATTGATCGGTCAGTTACGCTCGGGCTGCTTTGGATGGAAAGGATGCTGAGCTGTGGGGAGCTGCATATGAATGAACGAATCGATAAACTCATAATGATACATCCAATCCAAGCGAAAAGATAAGACCAGTTAGTCATACATATGGACACGTCAAGTCCAAGCAAATAGTTGTCGCCATGTACACTCTTATTGCCCCAGAAACAACTATGGACCATGAGAAGGGTTATGATTGACATCATCAGGTAAGGGGATCACATTAAGATGCAAGTTGGCACAGTATAGGATCTATCATTTCCACTCAATGTCATCTTTGCTTTATGGTCTATATCCTCGAAACGCGAAAAACATTCCAAAACGAGTATACTTCTCTAGCACCACATTCTTGTGACAAACAGGGGTTATTACAGCATAGTAGGTTGCCAGAGGTGGTTTCGAAACAGTCAGTAGTGTGGTAATCAATGAAGCTAGCAGCCTATATAAACATCATCAGCCAACAGATCTCCTCAAAATGTGAATTAAAAACTCCAGCTTCATATAGTACTTAACAGAAGTAGGGACAAAGAGACGTGATGTTCACTAATCTAATGTAGACGACCCCCAAAACTAGTCATCTACCAACCAGAGAAGCATCTAGAACTCTGGAACAAAGTGACACCGAAGCTGCGAGAGTGAAAGAATAAAACATGTAACCTAAGATCATTTATGAAGAAATCCTAATTCTAGAACATGTACCCACATGAAACTGATATAGTCAACTAATAGCAAGTGGATGGCAACAATGGTGTGATTACTAGTTTCCTTTCCATGTTGCAAGGGTGGTTACCCTCAACATCCTCCCACATGGAATTAATCTCGTTTGGATTTTTAATCGAGCTTCCCTCCACAGAGGAATCCTATTGGATTTATATGTTTACAGGTGAGCGGGTGAGGCCTGGAAGGACGGTTCAGAGCAGCGGTAGGAGGATTGTAGGATTGTAAGGTTGCGCGAACCTCTTGGCGGCGGATGCGAGGGCGTCGCCGGAGCAGTGCCGGACCCGGACCACGCGGAGCTCCCCGGCGGCGAGCGAGGCGGCGGAGCGGAGCATGGCGTCGACGCGGCGCTGGAAGGCGGGCGTCCACCACTCGGCGGCGTCGGCGCCGACGGCCTCGAAGGCCGGTTCGAGGTCGAGCGCGGCGAAGAGCGCCGGCCGGGAGCGCGCGGCCGCCCGCCAGGCGCGGCAGCACGGCATGGCGCCGCGCCACAGGTCCTCCGGGCCCAGCCGCGAGAACGCCTCCGCCAGGCACACCGGCGTCAGATCCGCCCAGTCCCTCTCCCCCTCCCCCTCCCCCTCCGGCGCCGCCGGCTCGTCGGCCTCGCCTCCCGTCGCCATCTCGCCTCCGCTTGCTTTTCTTTTCGGG